TTACATGACGTATCTTGGTTCTTATGTTTTCCCATTCCCCTGCCCTTCCTTCACACCCTACACCCTTCCCAATTTACAGAGACTTTGTTTCTATTTTTTCCTTTTCTCGTATCTTTTCCTTTCCCTGCTTTCCTTTGCCCTACACTTTCCACTTTCCCTAACCCTTTAGACCTTTTCTTCCTATTTCACATTATCAATTATACATTTTGATCCTTATTTAGGCTTTTAGTTTCATGTGTGTCCTATTTATGGTCAAGGTGCATCATTTTCTACAAATGACTCAAGTTTATCTTTCTTTATGGCAGAGTAGTACTCCATTGTGTATAAATGCCACATTTTCTCTGTGCATTGATCTGTTTATAGATATATATGCTGCTTCAAAATGTAGTTATTATAAATTGTGGTGCTATAAAGATGGGTATACATGTAGCACTGTAATATGGCATCTTTAACTCTTTTTTTCATTGAGTTTATTGGTACATTTTAGGTATACAGTATAGTTACAATCATCATTGGGATCTTGTACCTTTACATGATAGGTCTTGGTTCTCATTTTTTCCCCTTATCCCTGCCCTTCCTTCACCCCCTCCTACCTTCCCTATTTACAAATACTTTATTTCCATTTTTTCATTTTCTCATTTTTTTTTTACTTTTCCCTTATTACCTTTCCCCTATGCGTCCCTCTTCCCCTACACCTGTAGCCCTTTTCTTCCTATTTCACATTGTCAATTATCTCATTAGGATCTTATGTACCATTATAGTTTTTCACACCAGAGAAACTATTTGGTATTTATGCATGTGTGACTTATTTATTGCACTTAGGAGTATATCCTCAATATGTATCCATTTTCCTATGAATGACTAATTTCTCATTCGACATCTTTAACTCTTTCAGGAAGATATATGGAGAGGGAGAAAAACTGGATCAAAGGAAATTTCTAGTTTTAGTTTCATGAGGAATCTCCATACTGATTTTCCCTGTGCTTGTACAAGTCATCATTTCCACCAACAATATAGGAAGGTTCTTCCTCACAACCTTTCCTGCATTTGTTATTATTTGCTTTCTTGATGATAGCCCTCCTTTCTGGGGTAAAATGGAATATCAGTGTTGTCTCAATTTGCATTTCTCTAATTGCCAGCAATATTGAACAGTTCTTCATGTATTTATTGATCTTTCATATTTCTTCTTTTGATATGTGTCTAATTCATTCCTAATTTTTGTTTGTTTTTTTTAATTTAATTTTTTATTTTTTATATATTCTAGATATTAAATGTCTGTCACAGCAGTAGTGGAAAAAATTTTTTCTTCATTTTTCTCCAAAGGTGATCTCTTTACTCTGTTGGTTGCTTCTTTTGCTGTACAGAAGTTTTTAAATTTGATATTATCGGGCCAGGAATTTGGCTCAGTGGTTCCACTGCCTGCATCCTAAGCGCAAGGGCCTGAGTTCAATCCCCATAACAACAACAAAAAAAAAGACTAAATTTGATATTATCTCATTTACTGATTCTTGGTAATACTTTATGTAGAACTGGGGTTCTGTTCATAAAGTCTTTCCCTGTGCCTATGACTTCAAAAGTTTTGTTCCTGATTTTGGAGGAAACACTTTTAGCACAGTTTATCTTAGTGGATTTCTGTTTCAATTCCATGTATAGCATGTCTGCTTAAATCCTCTTAAACATGCCATAACACAGCCTAAAATTTTCTTCTACTTCTTGCTATAAATTATGTTTTTGAAGCTTCTTTTTATCTCTATAGCAGTAACTCTCCTTATTTTCTTTCATAACCCTATGTTTTTGCCATTTTTCACCTTGAACGTGAGTTATCTTTCAGAATTAATATGTATTAACAAAAGGAATGTGAATTTCCCCAGCCCACTTTGGTGTATCTAATTGCTTTTAAAATCCTTTTCAGTTATTTGAAGCTAAAACTTTATTTGATGCACTTGGTGAGTAACATTATTTATCACAGAAACTTACTGTATTAGAGCATGTGAACTTAAAAATTAAATATTAAGTCCTGAGGTAATATCTAAGTGAATGATATGCATTTTGTGAGTGCATTTTGCAATTTTTATTGAGTAAAAATGATTTGGATTATTTTGACTGAGTAAAAAGAAAGTAGACTTTGAAAAACAGGAATATAACATGAATACTATGGGTGAAGAATATATTTGGAGTTCACATTCAACTATAAAGCAAAGAAATTCAAAGGCAACTACACAACTTCCTCAGCCTGTTGCCCCAGTTGCAATGTCTGTAGGCTTAATGAGTGATTTTTAAAATGCCATTCATGCAAAAGAAGTAAACAGTAATTAGGGTTGAAGCAACATGTCCTGGCTTGCCCCAGCTCAAGGGTGAAACAGAGCAAGCATCTGAGGAAAAGATGTGCACTAGATGATGCATAAATTTATAAGGAGGACTTGGGTAGAAATACAGTAAGTACAATAGAGAATCGGTGAGCTAAACGGTACTAGAGGTCTATTGGGTCGTATTCATTCTTCATTCTCTTACCACGGTGTCTGCAGTCATTGAGGAAGCAATTGTTATTGAATCTACATTACCTCATTTGTTCTACTCGTCAACATTACTGGATGCAGGTATATATGAACTGATAAATGGAGAGGCTCATTCTGATGAATTGGTTTTCTATCAGAGTGGTCTGCTGACATGAATGTCCTTTCTGCCTTAGCTGCCATGTTGGAGACAAATCTTACTGGTTCAAGGAAAGTGAAAAGTCAAAAATTCCTTTTTTCTTCTAACTGCCTCACACTGCCAATAACAAATTGTTGTGTTCCATAAATGAACTTTGATAATGAGAAAGCTGCATGGAGAATGTAAAATTTGTCTCTCATGGCACAAAAGAGACAAAGAGTTAGGGGAAGAGGCCAGTATCAAATTGGGTAAAATTAACCCACCTATTCCTGTGAAACCTGCTATAGACACCCTTATCCAGGGCAGTGGCACCTGGGAGGAGGACAGTCTTATGCCCAAGTCATCAAACTGAACCACAGAACCAGAAATAAGAAGATGACTGATTCCTTGATTTGAGATATGCCAAGGGTCATTCCAGAAATCTTAGCTAAGGCAGAGATCATGACCTCAGGTTGCTCTATCAGAGAATAGAGCTGGAGGGCACAGGAGTTTGATTACTCAGGAGTTTGGCTTTCAGAAACTCAGAGTTAATATGAAGCCAACAGCATTCCTGAAAAGGATTTCCACGTTCATCGAGACCCAAGACTGCTCTCACTATGTGGCCAAACACAAGGCTCTGGCAGGATAAATAGGTCCATGTTGCCAAAGAGCAGAGAAAGAGGAATGGGATGCCAGGCATCCGCAACAGTAGCATCGACCCTCTTTCCATCTCAGCATACTGGGCATTTAGGAGTAACAAGCTACAGATGGGACTTATCTGAGTAAGGGGGTAAAGAAAAGCTAGATGGAAACATTAGAGGATTCAATATGGAAAACTAAAACAAGCTTTTTTAAATCTACTTTTCTAGATTAGTGTCAGATTCACAACACAAACATACTCTTGCTCCCGCTGTGTGAGCAGCTGCATGGGGAATTGCTGGATTGGGATTTCACACAACCCTGGCTATCATTTGAATATACCTCTGAACCCTACCTTCTCCCAAACAAAAGTCCTCAAAGACATTTTGCATGTAATGGAAGACATAAGAGGAGGTCGCAGCACCTCTCACCCAGTAATGGCCATGACTATAACTGCCCTAGAAATAGAGCTGAGTCTCCCAAATACATTTCAAACATTTTCTCTTGCCACCATGTTAAAGCTGATTGTTGCCAAGCAGCCTAAGGTTCTTTTGCTCAATTCAGAAACTATGAATCAGCTCTGCTAGCAGTCCTGATGTTACCAAGTAACACCAAATAATTCTATATGTGGCAGCTGACACAGCCAGCAACTGATCACTGCCATTGCCAGCTGCCATTATCTGGTGCTGACTTTTGTTGAACACCACAGTTCAACTGTGCTGAGCGCTGATCTCTGCTCTTGATCTTCACTCGCCCCTGGTCTGTGGAGCCATTTGCTGCTAACAGCCCCCAGTGCTTATTACTGGGTTTTGGTTTTGTTTTGTTTTTTGAAGCAACCACTCTGTCCCTAATACTTAGGGCAAGAATCCTAAGCAGATTTACAGGACTTTTGGACCCCACACTACCTGAGAATCAAATCAGGAACAGGTTTGCAGGATCACCTAAGTGACTCTTTATTTTAACAGGGTGCATGCTGCAGCACAGGAGGGTAAGTAAGTACACTGGAAGACTAAACAGAGAAGTGTGTACGGAGTGCTGCTTACATAGCAGCTGCAGGTCCATGATTGGTTCAACTACAGTTCTGTGATTGGTGCAGGGCTCCAGAACAGCCTCAGCTGTTACAGTAGAAATCCAGTGAAGTAGGAGGACTAAAACTAGAGAATCTTCTGGAAGGCTTGCTGTGGGGCTTAGGGATGTTAACAATGGGCCCAGATCCTTCACTCCCCAATGTTAGCCTTGCCAGTATGTACCTCCCTTCCTCAAAAAGGCAACAGTAGTATGTAAAGTGGCAGGAGTTGGGATGGGGCACCATGCTGATAGGTGAGCTGCACACATGTTACAGTGGAGAGTAGCTGTTAGATAGCCAGTGAGGACACCAAAGCAAGGTGTCCCAGGGCATTGAGGGAGGAAGTGGGAGAGGGGCACAACAGCCTCTAGCCAAGCCATGTCCCCTCTAGCCCATGCAGAAAAAGTGGGAGAGACAGGTGCTACCTAATTGTCTCAGTCTAATGATTTGAACTTTTAGTAACCCTTCATGAGGAAGGTAACATAAATGAATGTCATTCTGAATTGTGTTAAACTTCAGGTGAGAGAGGGTGAATTTATATGCTTGAAAGGTTAGGGAGGAATTGAGATCCCTTCAAAACTAACAGAGAGATGAAAATCACCTTCGGGGTAGAGAAAAATCAGAACAAACTCTGACTGACAGCTGAAGAAAGAGTACACGCAGCTGGTAACAGACTATGGTCAGTTTTAAATAGTAGTAGAAATGCAAATACTCATGCTAAGCAAGGGGAAGACTGTATTTCCATTTTCTTCCCATACCTGCTGTACCCCTTTCAAGGAGAGCAGACCCTGCCACAAAAAAGAATGGTTTGGGTTTTGTTGTGTCGGATGAAAAACAGAAAAGGGTGGTTGGCATTAAACTCCACCCAAGATGGCAGTGACTTCGTCACACCAACAGGACCACTGGCTGCAGCTGCCTGGGTGCCATCTTCATCCACCTCCACAAAGGTCTTGTGAAGGATTTTGGACAAGTACAGACTGGGACTTGGAGAGATTGCAGTAAGATCAGCCTTTGTTTCATCAAAGATATCAGTAATTCCCATATCTTGTATAATAGAATTGAGGTCATAGGTGTCTTCTAGGGTGAACTGGGGAAAGGAGATGGCTACTGTTTCTTCTGACATGTTTTCTGAGCCACTCCAGGCCACTATTTTTTCATAACTTATTTTCCTTTCAAGCTGAAAGAGAAATAAAAAATATTTGGGGTCAGATTAAAAAGTCTTCAAAGAAAGTCCCAATTACTTCAAATTGCCTAAGTGCATTTCAACAGTCAGTTATATACAACCTTCAAAGCCTCTGATTTCATTTTTAAGTATTCCAACTAAATCTGTTTCCTATATAGAAATTACAGTATAATTTGGGTGTCAGTGGGCTTTGGTGTTTGACAGACTTAAGTTCAAAAACCAGCAAAATTCAGCCTTAACATTTTGAAGTTAAATTTAAATTTCATCTTTTGTAAAACAGAGATAATACAATTATGCTCCTGCAAGGATTCAAAAAAATAATGTGCATAAAGTACTTAAAGTAGTACTGGCACATAGTAAATTTGGAATATTGGTTGTTACTGTTATTGTAGTTACTACGGTGTTATTTCTCTCTGACTTTCCCTCAATCTCTATCTTTTTACCTTCTAGAACAGTTAGTAACTGAGCCTTCCTGACCTTATTAATTCCTGCCTTACTGAGTCAATCTCTATTTCTGTCAAAACAGAATGAGACTGAGGAGCCTTTAACTGAACTATAGCAAAACAATCTGAATAAGAGGCTAGAAGTCAGCTTCTTTAGGTAAAAGGAGCTGTTTAATTTGTAGCAATTCTCAAATTACTCAGCATCCATAATTCCTTGATCTGGAAAAGTGATTACAAATGGCTATAAACTTAGAGATAATCATATTCCAGTATTTTGGCATTTATTCTTTAGTTTTAAACAAATAAATAAATAAACATAAAATGTAATTCAGATTCTTACACAGTCTTCAATATCTCTGATAGCTGGGATATCATCCTTTCTCTGGATGATAGATGACAGCTAGTGTTATTCTCCACCCCCTCTAACGTGTGTTTAATGGAGCAGAAACTGACATGGAAAAGGAGACTAACCTCCTGCAGGCCCTTCACATTGTCTGCAGAAGGAGATGGCAGCAGGACGAACATGCTGAGCTTCCCCATGGTGTACCTCATTTCAAGGATCTGCGCCTGCAGCTCCTCGATGAAACCAATTCTAAACAGACCCCTCTGATTCATCATCTTCACATTCTTCTGTTCACTCTGCAGTAGGCAAGGCAGGAAGTGACGGGCAGCCCCGGAAATCTTACAAACCCCTATGGCCCTAGTTTTCCTGAGAACAAAGTCAGAAGGGTCTGCCCCACAAACCCCAAACCACTGACCCATGCTGACAACCCTTACTTTATCAATACTTATGCTTTTATCCTCTCTTATTTTTAATCAGTTCTTCGACTCTTAAGACTATTTATTGGTAGACCTTCTATCACTTATCTCTCACAGCTGCATCAGCCAAAGCAAGACCTGTAAAGACTCTGTCTTCAGTGCCTGCTATATCCCAGTCCCCTTGGCCTCAGCCCTGGTCCCTCAATTCTGAACAACCCCTTCCCAGTACCCATGGGAACCAGATTAAACGTTAATTATCTACATATTAATTAATAGCAATTGCTCCACAGGCTTCCTGCAGAAGACACCATGTAGGGCCCCTTAAGCCTCACAATAACCTTGAGACTCACAGTAACCTTTATATGGAGGCATTAATTTACCAATGAGGACATTCAGTGCTTGAGAAAAAAGTTTGTCCACAGTAACAAAGTTAACTAGCACCAGTGGTTGGCTGGGATCCAGTGTCTTGCCTTTCCTCCTATTCTAGGCTTAGTGGCTCAGGACATGAGTTTAGGGGTCAAATGCAGATATGAACTTCAGTCACAGTTGAGTAATTTAGCCTTTGCCATTTCTGCTCGCAAATCCTAAGCAGAAATAATGACACTTATTTCATAATGTCATTTTGAGGAACAAATGAAATAATAAAGGAGAAATATTCAGCACAATACCTTCAGTGCAGTAGCACGAAAATGCTCGATGAACTTCGGGTACTGACTTTTTTTTAATCCCAAAACATTCTTATTAAATTTACAAGCTACAGTTTGGAGAACTAAGCTTTAGACTTGTGCCTACATACTGCAAGGCATTATTAGTGGAAAATATCAGTGGGAGATCTAGAAAACCATGGGCTCCAGCATAGTACCTCACTTAGAAAGAAAGATGCATCAACTGTATTTTCACGGTCAAAATTTTTTTCCCATTTGGCCTTGAAGTAAACAGCATTCACCAGCACTAACACAGTTGCATCATTAATAGCGTCCTTGCTGAACAGTTCCTTGATTTTACCTAAAGACAAAATGCCAGAGAAAGTGTCACAGTGCTCATGTAAAAAGACTTCTCGATGCATCTTAACATCCCCACTCTTGGAGAGTGTTTCATTTAAGAATAAACCCAAAAGAAAACAGAACAACTCCTAACTGTGGGTGGGGTGGAAGTGGAGGTGAGGGTGAGAGTAATAGTGTGGGAAGCTCCCTCACTCCACTCTGATGGGGGATCCCACTGAGAGGACTAGATTCAGAGAATCTCTGATTCTCTACACCACCATGGTTGGAACTTGTTGTCAGACATCTAAGATCACAGTTTAACTTTCAAATTATACACCAATCACCGGACTATAATCTCCTGGAGAAAATGACTAAGGCATAAATGTTCTGTCTCCAGCACTTAGGACATATAAACAAAAATGGGTGCAATTTATGCACCGTGACATAAAACCAATTCTGTAAGGACTTTCACATGGTTTATTTCATTCTGTCCCTCATAAGCCATGAGAAGTAGGCATAATTATTTGTTTATAATGGAGTAATATACTGTAGGCAATGAGAGCTGATGTTAAACAGCCCAGAAGCAACAAGGATGGCTAGGATAAGTGCCGGAGCTCCATCTTTCATGTTGTGGCCAGTTTTGAGGCTCTCTCTTCAATAGCATAGCCTTAAGAATGACTGAAAAGTCCCTATGCCATTGAGCAATAGTCCATTTCAGCATACACCCTTTTCCACCTCAAAATATAAAGTCACTGGTTGCACAGGCTGAGGTCTTAAGAAAACAAGATTGTTCTATATCAAGATCTCTACTTAAATCTCATAATAATACATTATGTTGACAGCATTATACTTAAAATAATTTGGGAGATATAGGTCACTAAGGAGACACTAGATAATAATCCTTTAACAGGATTTCTTTAGTGAGCTACTTTCCTCTTGATCACAGATCCTTGAAGGAATCAGAATTTATGGCATATGGATAAAGAAAGGACAAGTGATTTTGGAATATGAAGTCTTCCTCTAAGGAAAGACCAGGAGTAAGCTGGCCCTAAACTAGAGTAGTGAAGGTAGGAGATAGGAATGAAAAAACTATTGTACAAGTTTCCAAAGACAAATGAAAGAAGGTCAACTCTTGTTTCCAGCCTGTTGGTGATGATGAATGTTACAATGCCTTGGTCTTATTCTTGTTCTACAGGCAGGAGAAGAAATGCACTACCTTTCTCTCAGGCACTTCACATGTAGTTGCATATAAACGTTTTCTGCAACCACACACCGGCAATCAAAAAACATGTTCAGCAACATAACTTGGCCCTTAGGCTGCTAACACTGAGGTGGGGGTAGAGATGGATTTTGTTCAGTTTTGCAAATCCATGCAAGCCCTGATGGTAAAGAGCATTCTCTAAGCCTCATCTGGAGCAATAAGAGGGCTTGTTTCCCCTCTTCCTTTGCCAGGGCTTCCAACAAGAGTACAGACCACTTCCTCCATGAAATACAGACTCAAAGTGGTTTGAATCTCTGAGTTGGGGATGGTAAGTGGTAAGTCTTGGGGAAGATGGGATAGAAGGGCAAGACCACAAACAAGATATAGGGAAAGAATACTTATTGGTGGAAGTTGAGTCCTCTCACTTGTTGGCTATTTGAGTTCAGAAGCAAATTCACAATGAAGAAGTTAATCTCTTTTTTTTAAGTTTTTTTTTTTTTTCAGTTTTCTGAGACAAATTCTTGCTGTATAATACAGGCTGGTCTTAAGATAATTATGTAGCCCAGTTTGTAGCACAGACTCCTGCCTCAGCCAGTCAACTGTTGGGATTGCAGGCAAGTACCACCATGCCCCACTCAGAAGTAGTTTAATTGATAACTGAAAATTATATATATTTGTCATGTATAACAGGATGTTATGAAATATGTATACACCAAGGATAGCTAAAGAAAATTAATTAACATCTGCATTAATGAAGATGCATTTTTAAATAGCAATAATTACAATAAACACTTCAAACTACAGGCTACAAACTCATAATTCTAAGAAACCCTTTTCTGAAAATCAAACATAGGGCATATTTTCTTAACAGAAAATCTTTACTTTATTGAAAACTTATGTTAAAATATTTGACACATGTCATAAGGAGACATGAATGGCTGGCAGAAAGAGAATTTCTTTATTTGGGCACATAGGCTTTGTGTTTTAAAGAATTGAGATGTTCAGGTCAGAGCATTATGAGTCATTCTTGAGGATTCTAACTCTCATTAAATAATACATCACCCATCCAACTGATAGATAAACATCCTTCCAACGCACCTAGTCACAGCTCTCCAGTCCATCCTCTTCACATCCCTCCCTATCAACAATGGCCCGGCCACCAGCTCCTCCATCCTCTCCTTCCACCATGGTGCCCTAACTCCACCACCTGCATCTACACCCATTTCTCTGCATTTCCAACCTGCTGTCCATTCTACAATCAGAGTCATCTTGTAAAAACAAAGCTTCCCTTTGTTCTTAGTTCATCATATGATGCTGAAAATTTTAATGCTTGGGTAGATCCTTATAAATGAAATGCAAATTTAGATGTTAATCACAAGTCAATGTAAGACACTCAAACCATGCTGTAATTTTGAAACTCACAATTGTATAATTAAAGAGTAGTTTTACATGTACTATATGATTTTGTTATATGATAGATACACAACTTCAAGAAAAGAGGTCCTCAATGATTCTAATATATAAACTCAGATATATACCCCAGATATATTATAGAGATTATGAATATTCAGCACTAAGAACGCTAGTGCGATGCCAAAAGTGATAGTGATCTACACATACCATCAAAAAGAAAGTCTATATTAAAAGCTTAAGAAATGTTGAAAGAAAAAAATCAGTGCTTATAGGAGGAACAATTCAGACCATGATATTATGAGTCCTATTTACTAAAAATGTTTAAATTCCATTTTAGAAAATCATGGAATTTTATGGAAGTAAGAAATCTCCCCTCTATCATTTTATAGACAGAGTTCCTGAGAATCAGGATGGTCATCAACATCAAGGCCATTTCACTAATTTACCTGAAGACAGGCTCAACTTCATTTAGTTTGTGTTTTGTCTTAATTCAAACATCTTTTTTTATTAAATTTACATTTGAAATATACATAATGATCACATTCATCATAAGTAATTTTAACTGTGCGTAATATATCCTGACCTTCTTTATCCCCCCAATCCCATCCCCTGATTTCAAACCCTTTTCCCTGCCTTATTTACAAATGCTTTGCTCCCATTTTTTCCTTATAGTCTTTTTTCTTTTCCCTTCCTTTATCCTCTCCCCCCCATTGTCCCCCTTCCCATATGAACATTTTCTTCCTATTTCCCAATATTTATTATACATATTAATCCTTATTTACCCCTTCAGTTTCTCACACCAGAGAAACAATGCAATATTTAAACATGTATCCAATTTATTTCACTTAACAATATGTTCTCAAGGTATATACATTGACCTAGAAATCCCTCAAGCTTATCCTTCCTATGGCAGAGTAGTACTCCATTGTACGACAATGCCTCATCTTGTTTATCCATTCATCAGTTGGCAGGTATTTGGGCTGTTTCCTACATTCAGCTATTACAAATTGAATGCTGCTATAAACATGGGTGTGCTAGCATTGCTGTGGTATGATGCTTTTAATTCTTTTGGAAAGATATTGAGTGGAAATCAATTTGGAGATTCCTCAAAAACTAAAACTAGAGGTTCCATTTAACCCAGCTAATGCAAACATCTTAAGAATGAACAGCCTGTTACTCTACCAAGTTAAACACAAACAAGGTATAGGTATGTCACAAAGAATAATATTATTCTCAAGCAGCATAATGGATGTGTTTTGAGGGAATAAACATATAACTGAATTACATGAAAAAGAGATTATAAAGAGGGCAGTTGGAGAGTAGGCAGCTGAAGATGAATGCCTGATGTGGACACTTCCTACACACGGAGGCCAGGAAAGTATGGTTAATAAACTGAGCTGCCAGCAAGCAAGTTGGGGACACCAGGTATCTTTAAATGTGAATGGGAGAATGACGACTTTAGGAACCCCATGTTCTTACAGGCTGATCTCACGTCCATTTAGGTACTTCATTCTGCTGGGGGCTGAGCAGGGCTGCAAGAGGAGATTTACATTACAATATGATTCTATGTGTTGAACTTAACGTGCTTTTTCACTCGGGAAATGCCTATACATACTGTGAAACATTGACAAGAATGAAGATTTTATTATTTCCATATTGCTCTGAATTATTTGAAATCTTAGCTTTTCATTAACCTTTAAAAATGTAAATAAAAAGGTTAACATCCTGCCAGCATTATGCTTGACTGAAAAGCATTTTACCTTTGTTTATGTTGAGGAAAGAGAGCAATGATGAGAAACAGAAACAGCTAAATATTTTAACTGTCTTGATGATACTCAAGATGACCTTTGAAAACAGTCCATACATGTGAACATATGCCCCAGAAAGATTAGCAATCTTAACAGCTGGATGGCTGGTTCTCTTTGAAATGGAAAGAAATACCAGCTACTATGTGTTTGGTCTTTCTTACCTTGACACTGAGATTCAACCCAAAAGTTAATCATCTGTCTAGACTTTTCGGTGCTTTTCTGGAAATCAACACTTTCAATTGTTGTGTGATAAAATTGAATAACTCCATCTGAGTATTCCTGTAAGGTGGCAGTAAATGCAAAATAGAACAACAAAGTTATATAGAGATGATAACAGTTAAGAGTAAGGCAGTCATGAAAAGCCTCATCATGAGAAAGATGTACCGCATCACCTAGCATCTCCCCCATGACCCCACCAGCATTTGTTATTGGTTGATTTCTTGTTAGCCATTCTTTCTGGGGTGAGGTGGAATCTCAGTGTTGTTTGCATCTGCATCTCTCAAATGACCAGTGATGTTGAATATTTTTTCACATGTTTATTTCCTGCTTTTACTTGTCTGAAAAGTGTCTGTTAATTTCAGATGCCCATTTTTGAACCAGATCTTTATATTTGGGGGATCTGATTTTTTTGTTGTTGTTGTTTAGTTCTTTATATATTCTAGATAGAAGACCTTTGTCTGAGGAACAGCTCATAAATTATTTTCCCCACATTTTAGGTTGTGTCTTACCTCTGCTGGTGGTTTATCTTGCTGTGCAGAAGCTTTTTAATGAGATCCCAGTTGTCATTCTTTGTGCTAGTTCCCACGCTACTGAGGATTTGTTCATAAAGTCTTTTCCTATGCCAATGTCTTTGAGAGTTCTACCTAACTTACCTCCCAGCAAGTTTAGTGTTTCTCTTTTAATATTTAAATCTTTAATCCACTTGGATTTTAGTTTAGTGCATGGTGAAAGAAGTTTTAATCTTTGGCAGGTTGAAATTCGGTTTTTCCAAACAATGTATTGAAGAGGCTATCTTTCCTCCACTGAGGATGGTTGGCTCCTTTGTCAAAGATGAGGTAGCTGAGTACTTCTGGAGTTGTTTCTATATCTTCCAATCTATTTCACTGATCCTTGAGTCTGTTTCTTTGCCAGAACCATGCTGTTTTTATCATAGTGGCTTCGTAGTATAATTTCAGGTTGGAGATTGTGACACCCCCTGTCATTTCCTTTCGCTATTCTAGGTCTCTTCTGGCTCCAAATGAATTTTTGGATTGTTTTCTCTAGTTCTGTGAAATATACTGTTGGGATTTCAATTGGGATTGCATCAAATATATATCAAGTATGGTCATTTTCACTGTATTGGTTCTTCCTATCCAGGAACAAGGAATGTCTTTCCATTTTCTTATTTCCTCTTCTATCTCTTTTTTCAGAGTGCTATAGTTTTCAATGTAGAGGTCTTTTTACTTCCTTCATTATATTTATTTCTAGATATTTCATTTTGGGGATGTTATTGTGAAAGGAATTATTTTCCTAATTTCTCTCTCAGTGTTTCTGCTGTTTGTGTACAAGAAGGTTATTGATCACTGAGTGTTGACCTTGTATCCAGTTACTCTATTGAATCTGTAAATTAAGTCTAGAAGTCTTTTGGCAGAGTTTTTTGGGTCTTCTATGTACAGTATCATATCATCAGTAAATAATGACAGTTTAACTTCTTCCTTTCCTATGTTTATTGCTTTTATTTCTTTCTCCTGTCTGATTGTTGTGGCTAATGTTTCCAGAGCTATATTGAACAGGACAACACTCTCTTACTGAAAGGAGCACAGTTCTCCTGGGTGGCTTCTCATTTTAACAAATAAGGGTATGAGAAGAGAAATACCTTGAAGGAAGCCCACAGACAGTGGAGCTATAAACTGCATCTACCAGGTACTTTGATTGGCAAAGGAGTCAGGAGAATGCAATTAACAAACCTGTTCATTCTCCAAAGGCAGCTACTCACATGACCCTTTGTCTGCCCATTATATGGACCTCATAAACTGATGCTGAAAACCATGTGAAAGGTAACACTAATAGGGGATCAAAGGAGGCAGGTCCCAGACCCCTCACCAGTCCACAGCACTTCTTCTTGTCAAAGATGTGTGCTAGGTGTCAGGTAACCATCCAGCTACTCACTTCATTTTAAGGGGTACACCCTGTGGCACCTTCCATCACCAACCATGCACAACTCACCTGACAGATTGGGAATCCCTGCTCACCATAAAGCCTGTTGGCCATACTCATGATGTAGTGATTTTTGATCCTGTCTAATCGGGATAGAAGCTTCCCAAAGTAACAGCTGAGCAGTTTACTCTCGTCACTTGAGGATTCAGGCTGACAAAAGAAGAAACAATATGTGACCTTAACTTTGACTATCAGAAGAGCTACGCACCACTAAATGATGAGTACTTTTACAGAGAAAAGGCAGAGCTGCTTAATGAGATGTCAGTTCTCTGTGTGGGCTGGAATGATGAGTCATGGAGGATGAAAAGTGGTCCTGTGGAAAGATCACAGTTTCCACGGCAGCATCAAGATCATCCAGCAAAAACACATTTGAGACTAAGCATGATATCTTAGTTTGGGGAGACACTGCTTCTCTTGTATTTAAAAAGATTCAAGGAAGCCAATCATTTCTCTACCCTCTGCTTAAACTTAGGCAAAGATAACCTGGAAAATATCTTCCCCACACCTTGTCCAAGACAACTCTAATGGTCGTGATTGTCAGTACAGCTTCCAGCACAAAATAGACATGAGATGTGGGGAGTAAGAATCCCTCTGTGACCCAACCACTTACTGCCCTGCATCTTTAACAAGGATCCATTCTAGGGACCTGTGCCCTGTGAAAGCAGGGGAGTAATGAGGCTACGATCTAAGTTTGTCATGAGCACAGATGTAGAGGTCATACTCTAGGGAAAAAACTCGCAGCCAAGGACATATAAAAAGCATCATCAGGAAGGAATCATAGGTCATATGAGATTATTGCTGCCCACAGAACCCAGGACATGTTTGTGCATAAGCAATTATTGCCAAATGCAACTCGGTCAGAGGAGCAGTTTGTAAAGATGGGCAGGAGTTTAGGGTAGCAGTTCACCTGCACATCCTGAGACACTGTTGTTTGCTTCTGCCCTTCTGGAGAGCTGTCAGGTAGCACTTGTTTATTGCTTTTTAAGCAGGAGTCAAGTTCTTTGCTTTCATTCTTTGAAAGTTCATCGAAGTGTAGTACCTGTGTAATAATGGGACAGAGTCATTCAGATAATCTGACCAATAGGAAATCTGAATAGCATTAGAAACATTTTTGTAATGTGGCTATGACCATGATTACATAATCAGTAGCCACTTAAACAAATAGAAATTTCTTTCCTTAGATTATGAAGTAGAATAGAGAGGAAGTAACTGAATGCTACCCATTTCACAGGGGCATCATTTAAAATGAATATAACCTGGGAATGGTGGAGCAGGCCCATAATCCCGGCACTCTGGGAGTCTGAGAGGAAGAGGATCACAAGTAACAGTGCATCCTGGGAACTTAGCAAGATGATGCAAAAGCCTTGGGTTCAATCTTTGGTACTCAAAGGAAGGAACAAACGAAAGAAGGAGAGGGAGGGAGGGAGGAGAGAGGGAGAGAGAGAGAGAGGAAAAATTTTTAAAAGGAAGAAGTGAGAGGATAGGAGGGAGGGAGGAAGAGAAGAAGGAAGGGAAGAAACATAGCACACTAAAAGAATATAAAGGTATTCACAAGCTACATGTAGCTATTGAACACTTTATGGCCAGTCCAAATTGAGAGTAAGTCAAATGTAAAATAAAGACTGAAAGTAGTATGAAAAAGACTGTCAAATATCTCATTGATATTCTACAGTAACCATATTTTATTACAGTTTTGTCTTGATTACAAGTTGACAAAATATTTAGAAATGTTCGGTTAAAACTTTTTGAAACTATTCTTGGTTGTTCTTAACTTTTTTAATGTGAGTACTAAAAATGTTTTTAGCTTATATGTGGCTCAAATCATATTTTTGTAGCATAGAGCTGATAGAGAGTTTCCAAACAATCAAGGGAGCAAAGGTGTCAAAAAGCTGTCCAGAGCCTGGCAAGGGGCACATCTGGCACTGCTCATACTCTGGTCATTGGCAGGGAACCCCCAAGTGCCTGGAGAGGAAACATCAGCCAGACCTGGAGGATTCAAACCACATTGTGTGGCTGTTTTGCAAATGGGTCAGGAAAAAAATACAGCAAATCAGTCAGGCATGGTGGCACACACCTGTAATCCCAGCACTGAGGAGGCTGAGGCAGGAGGATCACTGCAAGTTCGAGACCGGCCTGGGGCTACATAGTGAGCTCCAGGTCAGTCTCAACTACATAGTGAGACCCTGTCTCAAAAAACAAAATAACAAGGGGCCGGGGATTTAGCTCAGTGGTTCTCCCACCTGCCTTGCAAGCGCAAGGACCACAGTTCAATCCCCGGTACCAAAAAATAAATAAATAAATACAGCAAATCTAAGTAGATAAGTGAAGCAGAATTACCCCAAACATATTCTGCCTTGGTCCATAAATTTGACACCTCTATGTTCAGGGACAATAACCTTACATATACCTTATCCTTGTGCTGTATGCTAGATCCAAGGACATATAGCACCAACTTCAAGAGCTTCTGGTTTACCTGAGTCATTGTCCTTGCCATCTCCATTCATCCATTCTACATCATTTACTGGATATATATTCTAAACCGTACACTGTTCAAGGGTAAAGATTCCTATCTACTAGGAGATTGTATTCTAGTAGATGAGGCATAGAAACAGCAATACATACTAATTGATCACCTTAGTGTGTTAAATAGTGAGAAACTATATGGGAGAATACAACTAGAATATTTCATGCGATTAAGGACACGAATTTGACATTAGATTGAGAAGTCACAGGAGTCCCCTTAGAGGTAGATCAGAGTCTTGAAGGAAAGAGCAAACTAAGGCATCAGTTGTTCAAGGGAAGAGCCATAGGGCCAAGGAACTGGAACAGAGGCTTGAGGACAGGAATGGGTGTGAGTTTCCCAAGGAAGCCTAGAGACCAATGAGGCAGCATGGGAAGGAGTAGAGAGAGAAAGAGGTGAGTCACAGGGTTGGTTGGAGATGCAGATCCCCTGATCTTGTGGGCCATTTTAATGACTTGGGCTTCTATAATGAACCAAAAGAGGAGTCTGGGTTTTTAAGCAATTAAGAAACAGAATCTGCCTTAGATTTGAAAGGACCTCAAACTGCTGAGTGGAGAAGAGATGGTCAGTGGAAGTAGGAGGCTAAATGGGAACCACGTTAGAAGAAAGAATGTGGCTCAGACCCCAGGGAGATGGTGAGAAGCATCTGGATACTGGCGCTGGGTTGCGTTTTGACAAGTGTGATTTGAAATAAGAACGAGAGGATGGAAGGAGAATGCCAAACACTCTAGCGACTGAGTAAATAACTAGTGCTCAATGACTAGATAACAAAATGCATGAGAAAGAAGACATATACACTTATTAAAAATTGCTAGCAATATTGGTGATAATAATTAGAGAAATAAAGAGTAACAGGCTTGAGGCAGAGATGGAAACAAAAAAGAACACTGAGAAAAGGTGCAGATGGGGAAATCTGAGGAATTTCCATAAAAGAGATAGAAGTTTGAGTGAACGTTACAGAATGACAGGACTGCAGAGAAAGTGAGCAAACCCAGGGTACAGAAAACAAGTGGGCTGGCCTGAGAATTATTAGTGAATGACTCTGAAAGTGCACACAGGGCTCAGGAACCCAGAAACACCAGCACAACTACCTACCTCATCGATCTGATGTGCACTATCATTTCGAGCCCCCAGCCGGATCATGCCAAAGGCAGCTGAGAGGCTCAGTGGACAGAAAAAGATATTCTTATGACTGTCATCTTTGCTTATCACTTGGAAAAAATCAAAGCAAAATTTGTTGTTTGCCACAACAAGAGAGTCCATCATAAAACTCCTAAGTATCCAAAACCAAAAAGAGACACAGAAATTAGTGATTCGAAAAAAAAATAGGCACACAAATAATTTTTATTTTAATAGCCAAGATACAATCATACATAATTATTAACTGTGCTATTAAGAATTGGAATAATAATGTCATTGTCCTTGTGTACAAATATTGGTGTTAATATTGGTATTGATTCAAATAGGGATCTATTTTTATTTAGTGGTACAAATTAAGTTTCCTAGAGCTGTCACACAAATTTCCACAAAACAGGTAGCTTAAAAACAAAAGTTTACCCCCACCATTCTGCAGACATCCAAAACCAAGGTGTTAGTAGAGGCTCCCGGCGAGGCTCCCCATTCTAGCCCCATTCTAGAGGCTCCCAGGGAAAATCTGTTTTACGTAACTCTTCCTGTTTTGGATGGTTGCCAACAATCTTTGACATTTCTAGGCTAATAGACACATCTCTGCCCCATCTTCACTTCTTTCTTCCCTATATCCCTTGCATGGAGTGTGTATCCAAATTTCTACCTTCCTCATAGACATCTGTCATTGAACCACATGAATTTTATGGACATTTGCCCTAAACTAATATGATCTCATTTAACTGTTATCTGCAATGGCCTTATTCACAGTTGCAGAGGTTAGGGCATAAACAGATATTTTGGGGAGAAAATAATTCTACTGACTTCATGGTGGAACTTCCTTTACTCAAGTAAAATAAAGTCAAAAGCTATGATTCCCACGATCAAGTGCACAACCAAGCAAACATCATCCTTGCTCCTCCTCTTCCCTCCTCCTCCTCCTCCACAGGTTATGCCTAATTCTGCTGAGTCCTTTTTCTATTTTTCTCCTCCCAAGTGTTCTGTGAGTGCAGATGTGCCCAGCAAATTGTCATGGGTCATACAGCAATGTAACATACAGAGTTCAAGATATTTTAATAGGCGTTAATGTCCAAGACTTAATAGATCTTCACAGATGTTGGAAGTATAGATGTCACTGAGCTCGTAGACCTTTGACGGAACCAGAACCAAAGCAAGTGACTTCTCTAAAAAACAAATTCCTCATCCCTATCACACCCCGCATTTACTCCAGAAGCCTCAAGAAGATATTGTGCAGGTCTCACTCCGCACCTATACCTCAGAAATGCAATATTTTTTTGTCTCTTTTACCATATATATCATGTACTTCCAAGGTGGAAATGTAAGCCCCCTTATTTGTGTTTTTACTGTCAGTTAGGGGGCACACAGTAAGCATGAAATAATGGTCAATGTATTGAATTGAATGGCGTGTGTTGGCTTTAACATTTTTCCGGTTTAATTTATGTTTCTATAGCCTATGAAACCTAATTCACAACATTAAACAACTTTTTTTTTAAATTGTGCCTGAAACACAACAAATATTGAACATAGCTTTAATCTTACAACTCTGCAAGGTGAATATTATTGCTCCCCTTTCACAAAGATAAAACAGAATAAAAAAATCACACATCCACTTGAAAATATTCTCTATGCTGTATCAACTACTTCTACCAAGTCTCCCCTAATTTACTCTAGGCCAGTCACACACACAGCAATATTGCACTTCCTCCTTTTTCAGCTGACAGTCTATTTTTATCCTTGTAATTTTTTCTGCCAAATTTATGCCTGCTTTGCATTTCTTATTTGTGCTTGCTAAGCTAAATTTCAAACATAATTTACATTTTAAAACTAATTCAAAGCCTCAGCTGTATAATTAAGGTTAATATTTGATCAAAATCTGTGGCATCAAAGGAGGAGAAGGCAAGAACATTTGTTCACTGCTAGAGGCAGACAATATGAAAGGAAAGGAGGGCTTTGAATGGAAAGATGAATTATGTCAACCAGTGCTTTTAGGCATTCCAATTAACTCCATGCCTGCTTTTTTCTGCCCATGCACCCCCAGCACCAGAGCGGAAGGATATCTTTTTGGCATAAACATGTGCAGAACTGAACAATCAGAAGCATCTTACCTGATTTACAAAGGACATGACTATTCATGTAAGCCCAATCTCTTTTCAACATTAAAAAACAAACAGCAATAAAAATCTGAGTCCTGAAAAGTGGCTTGCATACCATCACACATCTGACCAACAGAGAAGTAGGGCTGAATCCTCTCTGCGCCCAGATCTGTTTGCTTCTGGAACATCCTGCTTTTGTCACTTGTTTCTAAGTCTGGCTAAATCTTACAGCAACCCATTGATTCAATAAACATTAATGAAATTCTCCCATTGGAGAACTTCATGTCATCATATAAAAGAGTGCCCTGAATGAGACACAAGTTCTGCCTTTGAGAAACCCATGACCTAACAAAGCAGAAGCAGGTTTAAAAAACTGATAAAACTAATCAGCAATTTCAGAAGTCAGAACAGCAGCTATCCTTGTGGATGGTAGGGGAGAATTCTGGTTAACAATGATAAGAACAGTGGTGCATTAACAAACTGACTCCCTAAAAATAGTAAAGAAAAAAATCCATAATGTGCGATGCTTGCTGATTTCCAGAGACATATATAACCCATTTTTTTTAAATGTAGTGAAAATGTATTACAAAATGTCAACTAATTTTAAGACATTGGGATTTGGCTCAGTGGTTCCCCCGCTTGCCTCCCAAGTGCAAGGGCCCAAAAAACAAAAAGAGAGAGAGAGAGAAATAGTCCTTGACCACACCCCACATGCGTGTATGTGTTAAAGTTTAATTTTTTTTAAATGTAGTGAAAATGTATTACAAAATGTCAACTAATTTTAAGACATTGCATTGTACTTAATACAACAAATAAAATATGTAGAAGATAGGAAAAGTATCTCACAATGTGAAAATAACATCTCACAATGAAATGTGAGCTCCAGATGTAATTTGCACTTGTCCCCCCAAGAATTAACAGGAAGTGCAGTACTTTTCTTCTACACTGGAAAACATCCTCTATACTGTACAAAGTTACTGTTTTGTTAAGTCTAAAAGTGATTGCTAATGCTGCCTCTTAACTAAGCCACAACTTGAAAAACTTGTACATAATTACTTCAGTCATTATTATTTTCAAACAGATTTAGAATAACCTTTTCACATAGGAAGATCCTCTAAATCCAACCAGCTCAAGGAAGTAGGAGAATCCTCACCCACATCGACCCTAGAATAATAGTTTTGCTGCACCTGGCATTTCCCAAAATTTGTCTCTAATTCTCAAGCGGCCCTGTAAATTAGGATTTTCCATCCAACCACTAAGAAACAAAAGTAGTATGCAAATCAGTCAACTCAGTCTGATTTCAAAACCATCCTCTCTCCTCCTACATCATTCAGGTCACTGAGCAGATACCCCTTGTGCCGGACAAACTATGTCCTGAGAAACCCACCACCCAAGTTTTATATGACTCTACCCCCAGCAGTTACATGCCTGGACTTTGTCTCCTCCCACAGGTTGCAGAAAAACCTCAGGGGTACAGCTCCCGGAGTCCCCAAACTCTCTCTCTACCAAGGAGCACCTCAGGACCCAGTTTGTGCTCCTGAGATTCCTATGAAGGTTCATTAGAAATTCCTTTGCAAATTGCATCGGGATCTGTACAAATGTGTCATAGATTGAGATTTCAAGATTGCAATCTTAATATTGGGACTGCATTGCATAATTTCATTCATACTGTCCCAAATATTACCTCCTACTAATCATACCTGTGCATATATGGAGGAGATAATGGTTGTTTTTATTCAAGAAACAAAGGTAGCAACTCATTTTTATGTCTATGTAAATATTGTCATATTTTTGCCTGTGATACTTTCCCAGTTATGAATTACAAGAAAATTTTGGTTTTCAAATTTTGGTTTATTGTACAGATGGCAGAATAACAGTGATGAGGTATTTGCTCTCACAATATAGATAAGTCTATTGCCTTTATTTTCCCATGTGTTCCAAACTTGCAGTCATGGTATGTATGTGTACATCATGTTCACTGGTTCGCATCTTAAGTGTTTATCTTTATGGGCACTGTCTTTATATTTGTCTTTTTTGCTATCTTTACAATTAAATTAATATAGATAAATCTAAAAATTAATATCTTACTGCTGGGCATTTGTTAGCTTCTCATTTTTGCTATAGGAATAATTCTAGAATGAGCTTAATAAACATAGATTTTGCCTTCTTTTATATTATCAGTTAGGATATCTTCTTCAATGGGAGATTTCTATGTCAAATGTTATAAAGATTTTTTAATTTCATACTATTAGCCCAAGGTAACAGGTGGAACAGATGCATCATCTTCTCTCTGTCTTCAGATAGGGTCATTGTCATTCTTAATAATTTAAAAGAATAAAAGAACATTTTTGTATTCTGTGGATGCTTATTCAGTTTTGAACATCTGGCCATGTATTCTTTTCTGTTTATAGATTCTCTCCACTAATTGTCCCTTCATAGCCATTTGTCAGTTATCTGATTGAATCATGATAATTTGTTGATTATTATGAATTTTTCATACTGTATACAAATTGTATGTTTTTCTCACAATTTCCTAAAAACATTTTCCCTAACTGCAGTAGCCTTCTTTATTTTATTTTCTGTTATTAAAGAACATCACTCATTTAATTTAAAATGTCAACATTTTTGATTCTCTCTTCTGTCACATCAAAACTTTGAAAGCAAAATGACTTTTTTCTTGTTATTTTTGTTTTTGTGCACTGGGATTTGAACCTTAAATCCTCAGCCCATTTTTTATCTTTTTTATTTTGGACAGGGTCTCACTAAATTACCCAAGCTAGACTCAAAACGTGTGATCCTTCTGCCTCAACTTTGAGAGTAGCTGGACTTACAGGTGTGTGTGCTACCAGTGCACCTGTCAAGGATGTTATTAGTTTGGGAAATAAGTTCCTAATGTCAGTTACTCTTAACATTGTAAAAAGTTGCTGTGTATTTTATTAGTCTGTTGTTGCTTGATTGCTTATTTTGCTGTGCTAAAGATTGAACCCAACCAGAACCTTGCTCCTCCTAGCCAAGCATTCTGCC